TTGTGCCCAGTGTTTGCACCTTCATGTTTTCATGATGCTAATGACAGGGTTGGGCTGTTTTGGGGATGGGAGGGAATTAGGCCGTTCAGGAGTTGAAAACCTCCTCCTGCAGGTGGGTAAAGATCTGCTGCAGGACTTGGGAGGTTCAGCTGTATCAATACCCGGACAAGTGGGTATTTGTAGCGTGCCTTAGGTCAGGAAAGCAGGTCCTGGTGTGTTTGGGTGTCAGAGGAACCAAAATGCTTTGTCTGTTACTGAGAGTGGTCCCGTGATTTGAATGTTAAATGCTCTTGGTTTGACAGCCCTTGAAGAAGGGATTGCATGTGACACAGCTCTTGTTTCATAGGGTGAGAAATCCCATAGGAATCCATCTTCCCCTGAGGGAACATCAGACAAACTGGGAAATGGATGTGCCCCCCATCAGGCACAGGAGGTCCATGTTGCTGGAGTGAAGATCTTCTATGGCTCTCAGACTGGCACAGCAAAGGTATCTGTACTTTTATTGCGCATCTGTGAAATTGCTTTGAAATATTGTTGGGATCTGAGAAAGTTGCTTGCCTTAAAACACTACCTTGGGTACAGATCTGGGAGTTCATCAGCACATTGATTAGCTTGTTACAATCATTGCCCAATGTGCAAGATAAATGAAAAATTAAATAAAAGTAACAATTTTCCTCCTTCCTTTAAGCAAGGTGTGCAGGAGAGGTTGATTATAAAGCTAAAAGTTCACTCTTGCACTATAATTTTAATTTTCTAGCAAGGCTTTGTAGAGAGAAATTCTGGGTTTGATGCTTTCTTGTGAAGAAATGTAATTTGTATGTGTAGCTGTGAAGTGATTAGTCATTATAATGTTGTAACTCTCAGCCAGTGTACTCCATTTTTGTTTTAATGTGAGGAATTGCAGTACCAGTTGTCCAGGCCACCTGTGTCATTATTCTTCCTGTGCTGGGAGAAGTCTTGTGGCTGAGCACAGCAGGGCTTGTGTGGCTTGAAGTAATTGATAACTTCCAATATTTTTTTATTCAGAGATTTGCCAAGGTTCTGGCTGAAGCTGTTACTTCCCTTAATTTGCCTGTGGAAGTCATTAACATGGGAGACTATGATCCAGAAGATGGTTTAGCAGAGGAGGTGGGTATGGCATAAACACCAGTAACAAGTACAAGTTTTTCCTGGGGTTGTCAAAGCTATTTCCTTCTTGTATTCGTCTCCTATTGTTCTGGAAATCCCCCAAGCTTTGTGTTGAATTGCCTCTCTACTTATGCAAATGTAGCCCATCAGTCCTCAGCAGAAAATACCTACATTTTGAGAATTTTGAACCACTGGTTGGACATTTTGTTGTGACAGTGACTCTGTATGAGCTAGTTCTGTAACTCAGGGATGAGCTGGGTGAGAGAGGTTACTCCAGGTGCCCTGTACACCTGGACAGGTTTCAGAACCAGAGCAGGAAGGTGGCAATGCCTCTGCAGCCTTTAGAGGCTTTTAAGATAGAAACTCCTTGTGAGGTGTATTTATGTGGAGTAATCCTTAATGGGTTTTTCTTCCGTCAGTATTGATAG